AAACTAAAATGCCCTGCTAGTCTCATCGTCTTCCAGTTCTGTCCCTTCACTACAACATGACTTGGCCGTCTAATATAGAACGGTATGATATATATATATATATATATATATATATATATATATATATATATATATATATATATATATATATATATATATATATATATCAAGTATATAGGATTCGGTTATACAGAATAAAAAGCCCAAAAATACTATTTTAAAAGAGTGCTCAATACAAATTAGAGCAAATATATTTATTTATTCAAAAATTATAACATAAATATGCTATAAATCACTACAAAAGTAGCCATATTGTTTTAATACTTCTGGTGTTTCTACAGTTGCATAATTTTTCCCTATTATCGTCTGATTTAAGTGAAGAGTTTTTATTAATACTGTTTTGGCATGGGGGTTTGTTCAAGATCTTATTATTGTGTTTTTTTATTATGCGTTCAAGATTATCAGAGCAGCTGTAGCTCAATTTTAGGGTGTTCTTATTGAATATATTACTAAGCTTACTATTGGTGGGGAAGTGTTTATTAATTAGAGCTAAGAATTTCTGACAGAGCAAAAAAGTTGTGTCGCCTCAGCTAGCATAGATATATACAAACTCTTGTTTATCGCCAGTGAATATACTTAGCCAACGATGGTCACTATGTGGAAACAATAATCTTTTGTACGAGAAAAGCTTGGTCCATTCGGAGGAATTTTATTGTTCCCTAGAAATGTGCTAAAGCTTCCGTGAAAATAAACAAGATGCATTACTTTTGAGGTTACCCACGTAGATTGCTTAAAAGCATCTGCTTTTATTATTATTATTATTATTATTATTATTATTTTTGCTGTATACTCATTTTATCCGGAACCCGACCAGAGACCAGAAATTGTATCATGACATTTTCCACTGAGCAATTAAAAGGCACCTACCCACATATTTTACATAGATAAAGCTCTTCTTAGGTGTGGGCTGTGCTCGTGAGAACAATTTTTCGTATTTCTTTAAGGCATGGGCTTCCAGGAATCCCTACATTGAGTCTATTTGAATATTCCCAAACAATCTAACTACAACAGGGATTGTTGTTGTCCTCATGTGCCATATTTTTGAGATTTTGATTTCAAGTTCCTTGTATTTTGATAGCTTTTGATATATATTCAAAGATACATTGCATGGCTTGTCATTAGTATCATTATTATTATTATTATTATGACGTAATTTCATCGAAATATACGGAGGAAAGAAAAAAAGATCATAAAAATAATTTAGACTCCAAGTTATCAAATGTGACGAACGTCGTCCTACACAAATATTTTCCCAAAACGTACTTACCTACTTACATAAATAATTAGTAATAACTGCAGTCGCGGTGATATATATATATATATATATATATATATATATATATATATGTATGTGTGTGTGTACCTACTTACGTCAGTAGCTATCAGAATGTAATTTTAAATAAGTACCAATTCTGTTATGAATGGTTGTGTATATATATATGTGAGTGTCTGTGTTTAGAAAAGAGAAAGTATATATATATATATATATATATATATATATATATATATATATATATATATATATATATATATATATATATATATATATATATATATATATATATATATATATATATATATATATATATATATATATATTGGTCTTTAGCTTTTTTTCACTTCTGGTCCGAGAAAGGAAAGGCTGGGCCAGTGACATGATCGTCCGGGTTCGATTCTTGGTAGTGGATACGCATTACTGATGGTGAATCAGAAAAAGGCAAACGTCACTGGCATGTTTATTCAAAATATATACGTAAAAACCGACCATCCTCTCAGCTGAAAACCGATAGAAACTACCTTTAAATAAATACCATTTTTAATATATATATATACGTGTGTATATGTATGTGCGTAGAATGAGAGAGAAATTGATATATATATATATACTCACACACTTAAACGACATATATATGTTATTTATTTCTCTCTCTCTCTCTCTCCCCACCACATGTCTATATATATATATATATATATATATATTCATAATAAAATTGGTTTGATATTTATTTAAAGTTAGATTCTGACAGCTACTGACGTAACTATATATATATATATATATATATATATATATATATATATACATATCTTTTTCTAGACTTATATACGCGTATATACATAGTAATATATATATTGAGTGAGATAGATAAATAAATGGAAATATAGACAAAAAGAAGATAAAAAAAATATGTTTATAAAATAAAAAATATATAGATAGTTGTATGCACTAATATATATATATATATATAGAGAGAGAGAGAGAGAAAGAAAGAGCTTTTACGAGATCAGCCGATTACGCTAGCTTGGTTTCCCACCCCCCTTTCTCTATTTTCAGACGATTTTGATCAATTGATTTCCCAAAGCTTTATTTTTTTAAAATAAAAAAAAATTCCAAATGCAGTATTTTAAAACCCAAATAAATAAATCAAAACAATCTTAACAATATAAGATATGCATATGACATAGTGTTGATAGTGTGTAACCCCCCCACCTCGAGTGATTTGTAACACATTAATTATCATCTCTCAGTTGCGC